ATTATAAAAGCACCTATAATAATAATATTAATAATATTATTAATAAATCACATAGTTAATTAACATTATTCATTTACTTTCAATTTCTAAAGGATTTCTTCCACCTACACTAATGTTATAAAGCATTATTTTAAGGTTTTTCTTACATTTTTTTGTTCAACAAAAAAGATTTTGCCAACGTAGCGATCATAATTTACTTATAACTTCAGTAGGTAAATTGTAATATGAAGGTTAAGGGATTCAGAGAGATTCAACTGATATTGTTATAGTACAGCAAGAAAACTTCAAGTTTACTTAGTATACTTGACTGGGATCAAAGAAGAGATAATCTATCTGAGCTTCTAAAAAAAGTATTGTAATACGTATAAAAAAAATTTTAAATCAATTGAATCGAATGTGTAACAATCTACAAACTCAGGATATTCTTCTCTGTTTATATGCTACTGGTATATATTATATACTTATAAGTAAAAAAAAAAATTTTGCAAATCGTTAAAATAAGGTAGGCACTTACTAAAACATATCTTTTAATCATTTTTATGAACACTCCATTCTATATTTATTTATAACCTTAAGTATTATTTTTTAAATTTTGATTTTATTTCCTTTGGATTTTTTATTGGCTTGATAGATTGATAATTAATGATTGTCAAAGATTATGAAAAAAAAATTGCAGCAAAAGATTTGTTCAAGTTTGTTCATTATTTTACTTAATTTTGAATGTATACAACATATGTGTATACATAATGCATACATTAAAATGTGACTTAAAATTCTGGAAAAGTGATATCACTTTGCATAACAATCGCAATTCTTGATTGTGTACCAGGATTGTGTCGCAGACAAATTCTTTAAAGTTTATATTAAATATGTTAAGGTTAAGCATCTATATTATGGTAAGACAATATAGAGATATATAGTAAAATTGCGCAATAAAACTTTTTTGTTAGACACTAAAAGTGATTTCTTACACAGTTTTTCAAAAAATTAATAAAACGAATGTTTGTTTTAAATTTTTCTAGTCATGTTACTTTATATCTAATCTTGAAATCTGATTCGTAATTTAGAAAATCTGCACTACAAAGCATAACAATTATCTAAACTAGCTACTTCTATACTTATAAATAATGATACCTGAATTTCATAGTTAAAACATAACCAAAAAACAAAGGCTACTCAAAATAAAGCATGCAGATTGGTCTGAAAACCAAGTATACTGCTACTAGGACCCAGTTTTATGAACTTCTTTTTTTTTTTATATATTAAAACACAAATATCCGTTATGCTATTGACCAATTGAAAGTTTCCAATGCATATTGTTTGTTTGTTAACCATAGTCAGGTAAGAATTTGGCTGAAGAATTATAAAAGTTATAATATTTGATATAAAATGTTTAGGCTATTACTAGAAAGTTAGGTGGGCTTACTGAAAAGTTAGCTTGGTGCTTTTACAATTGTAATCTACTCTTAGGAGTTCGAGAAGTTGATAAATTGAGTGTCGGTAAAATAAGTGGAACCATTTTTTTTATAGTAAATAATGGCACAAATCAATACCCTATTGAATGTTAATTTTAACTAATCCACTTACTTTTTTGTTATCTATATAGTTAGTAATGACCTATCGAACGTTAATTCTAACTAATCTACTTACTTTTTTGTCACTTCTACAGCAAGGTCTTTACATATAACTTTTTTTTTATAGTAAATAATGGTACCAATCAATGCTCTATTGAATGTTAACCCTGTAAAAAAACTGGTATATTAATAAAAACCAAAGGTGTAATCTCATCTTAATATTAAAAAAAAATAAAAATAAAAACTATAATTATTTTATAAATAGAAATATGTTAGCTTTAGCGGGTTGCGCTATTGCACTTGCGATATCGCATTATAACGTAAGTTAGAGATTTAGTATGTAAATATTATGCATGACGGGTATTTGTAATATGCATAAAGCGAGTTGCGATATCGCATATGGGTAAATATTATGCATGACGAGATTTGTAATGTGCATAAAGCGGAGCATATTACCATGATTGTAAATACGTGGTTAGAGATTTTTTTTTTTTTTAATGAAACTATCAAAATAAAATCACTTTCAATTCCTCAAAACACGCAAAACTTTTTAAATCATTAAACAAATTAATTTTGAATCATCTCGATTATTGTGAATAATGGCTTTGAAGTCGAAAAAAACCATAACCATACCTTGTTGCAATTTTTAATCCTGTGATCATGTCAGATAACGTCTTTGGGTTTTCATCTTCTGATCCATATTTTTATATCAGTAGCGAAGACAGGATGGTAAATTAGTACTAGCTGTTTCATAACAAAAAAAAAAAAAAAAGAGCTGGTCAGAAAGATAGTTAACATTATCTATACTAATCATTAACTTTTTAGTATTTTTAGCACCACCTGATCTCTCATTTTCAACAAACCAACATTCCTACATTGAACATGCAACTGAAGAACCCATGCAAATTTTTCAAGAGCAACAACATGAGGACCAAGGATTCATATGATTATCTCATGAGCAACAAAGCCAACTCATACGATTGATTCAAGGGCAACAGCATGAGAACCAAGGATTCATATCTCAATTATTCCATGAGCAACAAAGTGATGATGAATTTGATTGCAGTAATGAAGATAATGAGTATAAAATTGAAGCTGGTGCTAACTTTCCTAATTGGAAGTCTTTAGAAAGTGCGTTAGAAAAGCATGAACTAGAAGTTGGATTCAAGTCTATAAAGTTTCGGATAGAACGTGATAACAATGGAGATATAATTCGTCGATACTTTGTTTGTGAGAATTCGAAAGAGCAACAATCCAAAAAAAAAATAATTGATGCAGACCATAGGGAAAGAAATTCTAAGAAAGTTGGATGCCTGTGGCAACTCAATGCAGGGTATAGAAAAAATGAAGGCACCATATTTATTAATAAGCTTGTTGATGAGCATAACC